AAATGAATGTCACCATCGTGTTCTACGCCCAAAACTACTCATTAAACTTGTGTCAAAGGCTGCGAATATCAGTTTTGATTTTCGGGGATATGTGCCTACCCGGTTGACCTTACCTTGACCCTGACCTATGCTTGACTGACCCCTACATGGAGCTGACACTCTTGTAGGCCTTATATGAAGGATTGTGCACCGTTTTGACAGAGTTTATGACGGAGGCGCCCATTGCGAAGTCCTGGAAGTCCATGCTACTGAAAGCCCGGTTTCAGGTGTTTGAACTGACCTTGACCCGACCTGTGACCTCAAAATTAAATTTTAAGTACTCATCCGAAGGGTTTCGTTGCGTTCTTTCGTTTGCCGCCTCGTGCGTTTCGCTGCGCCTATTGGTTCTCGAGTTATGGGCTGGGGGCGTTTAACGCCCCCCCCCCCCCCCCAGCAAACGGCGGGTGGCAAAATACCCGGCCCCAGTAACTGCCTGGTTAAATGAGTGTCCAGTCAGACTGCGTTAACACCAAGCAATACTTAACAGCACGCAACTCCAAATGTGCTCCACAAAAGCCATTTAATCTAGATTCGTGAGAAAACTCCTTAATGTGCTTAGCTCGCTAAGATGTTTCGGTTCTAAACCAGGAAACAATACGGATAATACCCCAACAAGTGGGGCTATTTTCTCGGGCTCATAACTAGGCTGTCACGAAGGCGCACCACTCTAAAGTCGGCCCGTGAAAAAGTGTCTTTAATCGCGTTCATTATCACCGGGCTGGAATATCTGTGGTAAGTGGCCCAACAAGAAAAGTCGCTTCACTGTTATGGAAAACTCTGGTAAATGTCCAGATGGGGTCCAGATAAGCCTGACGAGGGCTAAAGGAGATGTCGAAAAGGGCATGGACGGACTACATGGAGTGGATTTCAGCTGTGTCCATGGCATATATTATGAATTGGGACTTTTTTTTTACTCTTTTGTGAATGAAGCCGCTTGGATAGATGCAATATCAGACATACTAAATTAATATTTATGGCTTAATCATATCAGAATAGTGCTTAGAATAATGCATTGTTGGTCTGAGATCGTCCAATGTTGCCATTCCGTGCGTCTAATCCGACATTTTCACATATTGGCTCATTTCGTTGCAATTTCGTGCAAAACATCAGTTGCATGAATGTAATTCGGGATACCAGGTAAGAAGATCAAACCCTTCCTTCTTGTTAGATATTGATGGTGCAAAATGGCCACAACAATCGGTTATTTCTGCCCAACCCTTACCAACGGTCGGAAACTGTTCTTTTTGTGCGGGCTTTCTCACGTTATACCTACGCGTGCTTTGATAGATCACCCATGGCTTTGATAGCCGGGCCACCCGAAACCCGCATGTATCTGTAGTGTTTGTTATCACCTTGACAATGCGTCTTCAGTGTATCCTCTGTGTGGTATCCTTTGTCGGCAGTAGGGCTTTGTGAAGGACCACCTTAGTATTGAATTCTCCCGCTTCATTCAACCCGGTAGCTACTGTGTATCACCGGGTATTGTAACTCCCGGCACCTACCGCGGCTCCCCTTTCTGGCGCTGTCCTTCAGACAGTTACCCGTCCCATCCTTTTCAGTCTCTCCCTCTCTCTTCACCAGTCCTTACCCCTCCCCGACTCTTCCCCGTGAGGGTACTTATCCGCTCCTCCACAATCTCGGGCAAATCAGTCCGTCGTAATCGCTCTCCGATCGTCCCACCCTTTGCCCCCCGCGGCCCTCGGCCCTCACCACCCTGTCAGCCTATTGTCCGGCGCTGTCAGCTGTTTGCGTTGGTCTTTTTTCTTCTTTTGACGTGCCCCCGGCCGGCAGGCCGAGTGATGAGCCATTGGGACACCGTGGGGGAGGGGAGGGACGGGAGGGGAGGAGGGGTTGGTTTTTGTGGGCCGCCTGTCGGTCCCAGCGGAGGAATTGGGAGGACAGAGAGAGAGCAGCGATAAACACTCGCCGGTCGCGACTGTTTCTGACGACGATGACGCGCTGTGTTTCGGGTGCGCCGGAAATGTCAACAGAGCACCACTTCAGCTGTATCCGGACAAACAAACCATCAGTGGTCGTACAGTTTGCTGTGGGATAATATTTTAGCTGAATTGTTGGCTGGTTCTTGATCTGTGCAAATAGGGAGTTGACATGGTGTGTGCTCTCCAAATTTTTGAAACAATCCACATCTACTCTGCGTCTTTTAATAGGCGGTGTTAGTGGCCTAGCCTGACTTGCAGTCTCTAAGCCTGGGTGTTATGTCCGAGCCAATGGATTTCATTGAGCCCCTTCCATGACCCATTCAAATCAAGCACTGCCCGTATTGAGCAAGCTCCCTGCTCGGATGTCATTTAACCCTATTCCTGGCGGGGGGGGGGGGGGCTCAGGAGCCCCCCCTGAGGTTTTTTGGTTATTTCTCCCAAACGCGTTGAGCTAGGAAGCTCAAATTTTCTGACTTTTCCTAAAAGGCTTCTACGCAACATGTCTGAAAATTTTGAGTTGATCTGACCTCAGGTCAGGTCACCAGAGGCGGTTTGGTGACCCTACCTCAGAAAAGTTTGCAATCACGCCAGAGCTAGGGTTTTTGACAGATCAATGTCTTCTCTTCAGGCTTTAGTTAGGGTACCAGTATGTGCAATTTGCATATCTCGGAATTTTGATATCGGTGACCTAAGGTCAGGTCAGTTTCGCGACCTCCCCATTATAAGTCAATGGGGGAAAATTCAACTCCCTGTTTTTACAACTAAAACGGGTCGGAATGGCCCCATATACCATACATGACTTCATATACGCTCAACCTTCACTACCTTGAGGTCTGTTTTGCTGTTGGGCAGCTGTGAGGTCATGTGACGTCATCAAAAGTCACCAAAGGTTTTTGGCCAATAACTCCGTACAGGAACAAGATACAGACGCGTGGATGGTCTCATTGTGTTCAGCTCGTCAAGACGCATCGATTGATATACATGATGACCTCGAGGTCACGTGACCTGAGGTCAACCTTGGACCTTGACCTTTCGAGGTCAACATATATATCATTCGATGCGGATTGACGAGAGGATCAACGATGATGCCCTTAGTTTGTTCCTATCTTGACTAATTCGAAAGTTATTCGAGAAAAACTCTCTCCATATCTAGCGCCGCCATTTTGACTTTTTCGACCCCTGTGACGTCATCTTTGACCTGACCTGAAAATGACCTTAGTAAAAATTGTAGATCTTGACCGTGCGTATCCGGTGCCGTTTACCGTTTGTCGCTGCGATGTGTAGTTTTTGAGATCTGAAGGGGGGCCGAATCGGCCCCCCCCCCCCGCCAGTTTCTTGTACCGGCGGAGCCCGCCAGGAATAGGGTTAAGATGAAATGAAGGACCAACACAATACATTTTGCTCAGCAAAGCTCACACACGTCAAATTTATTGAACTGGTAAACGTCATCTACGAAATGCTTGATGCCAGGCACTAGACCTTGAGTGAAAAATGCGTGAAATATCAAACACTCGTACCATCTTGATGCATCGATAAGAGAAGGTACCACTTGTCTGATTTTATCATACCTTGTTTATGTTACACGAACTGGAATGCACCCACTAATAGCGCACAATTCGCTGGCAGCCGACAGTCGATAAAACAAATCGTAACCATTGGACGATACGAAATCGCTCGGCCTTTCGACCTCTGCACCACTTTATTATGATGGCAATCGTGTCGGCTGGGGCGGTGCATCGTCAAATTACCTCTCCATCTGGGCTGTTATCTGATGCCCCAGTCGTCTGATTGTCTTCGCCGTTCCTCCGCAGTCTAACCACGCCCTCATCACAACCTCTTCTCGTGATTTCTAGAACATTCTCCTCTCGGTGAGCGGTCCCATAAGCGGGATCCTAAAACAATTAACCGACTATGTTTTGTCACGATTCTTTCGACTCCCCTCCCAACATTCACCGTCCGTACCCTGTCACGATCCCCCCCCTACGCCCCCCTCCCCCCGATGACGGTGCGCGGATGGCGGCTGACGCCCAACGATGACGCCCCCTCTTTCTGACGGTCGTCATCACGCACTGTGATGTCACGCCCCGTGCATTGTGGACCATTTAGATCGGTGACGAGATTACTGTAAGTGGTTGGTTTTATCAGGAAGGCGAAGTGGCGTAGGCGGGAAGAATGGAATGGGACGGAGCGTGGGTTGGATTTATAGATGAATGGCAGTGGGTATGGCTGTATGAGGTTTTGATGTATGAAATATGATTGTTGAAGTGTCTGATGGCTGACGTCTTCCTCAGTAGCTTTTGTAAGCAATCGGGCGTCTACATGATTGACCGCTAGCTGTCACGTTTGGGTGGGCTTCTTTGAATCATAAAAAAAAATATTAGAAGCCTCAGTTAATCGAATTCAAATGTAGACAGACATGAACAAAACCCGTAATATCGATCAGCATCTCGGTCTAAGACAGTAGATCCCAGCCGACAATTTGTACACAGCCTAAGCGAATACAAAATGTCAAGGAAGCCAATACATTTTACCCGCTTTTCTGTTCGATTATGTTTGGTAAAGGCGTGAAACTGCTCCCGGAACTTGTAACGGTTACAGAGCCGGGCGCTTCATGGCTGGCTCGAATCGGTAATGAGTTCAGCGGTCGAGTCATTAACGCCAAACAATAGCGATCGGTTTCGGCCGTGGTTCTAAATAGAATCGAGCAGGCACTGTCACATAATTGGTCGTCATTGTTGAAAAGCTCTTACCCAAGGACGTCGTAATAACATGGATTGTTTATGGTGTGGAACCCCCATGCTCAATTGTGTGGCACTGGGTGATGTGACTGGTTTCTTTTCATTAAACCAACGTGAAGACGTAACTACTGTTCCTTTCTAATGCCTGTTCAACATAATTAGGTACTTCTTCGTTTTCTATTTTCTCGTCTTGCTGCTGTTCACGATCCGTGGATGTAACCCAACGTCTATTGTCCGGCTCCGAAGCGTCATCTAATGTAACAATCTTTCTCTCTGTCCACAGACCTGAAGAAGTCGTTTGCCACAGCACCATTGCCCGACTCTGTTCAAGTTGATCAGACTGTGGAACTTCGCTGTAAGCCACCCTCCGGGGAACCAACTCCTTCAATTAGCTGGACCAAGAATGGCGTCACCATCGACCCCAAGCAGGACCCCAACTACATCATCTCCAAGGAGGGCAACCTGCTCATCGTAGCCGCCAAGCTCTCCGACATGGCCAACTACAGCTGTGTAGCAGAGAACGTGGCCAACCGGCGCGTCAGCCCACCGGCACGGCTCACTGTTTTCGGTACGTACCGAGATGTTCCCGTATTTGGGGTGTGATAAATTGAAGCCACTGCCTCTCAATATGTAACGCATAGGGAATATTGGCTATCGTCGTATCGCAATATTCATGAAATACCTCACACCAGGCGCATATTGAAGACGGAACAGATGAATGGTATTGATATGTGTCAGCAGCGAACTGGTCACTGATATTCCAATGCGGCTGGTCATACCGGGTTTGTGCTCCCACATCGCTGACAAGTTTGGAATGAAGTCGTCACCGGCGCTAGCGCGCTTGGCTATCACTTTGTAGGTGACTCAGTGGCAAAGAGCACGTCATTGCTCGCTGAGGGAGCGCTCCTTTTGGGGATATCTGTAATGGGAAGGAGCACAGAAACCGCAGAGGTTCCTGTCGTTACCAGGGCGGGGTTATCGGTGTAGGTACCCGGTGTGTCACCCACGGATACAGGGCAAAGGCAGATCCAGGTAGGAAATCCATAATAGGTATAGCGTGCATTTGGACAAAATAAAGTTTGTATATAGACGAACATTAGCATTACCACGCCTAGAGCATAGAATATGAACAATTTTCTTTTGACATTACCACGCCTAGAGCATAGAATTTGAACAAGATTTCTTTTGGCGTTATGTCTTTCCAAAAATTTACTCCCAGATGCGCTTTTGGCACAGACGGAATCCATGATAAAACATGCGATTGAGGAGCCATCCCGAGTTACGTTGGTGGATGCACGTCGCCCTCGTCAGTTAAGAGTCAAGTACGGTTGATGATGTGTCTGCCAGTTTTCTTATGTTGTGTGTTCCGGTCGTCGATTTCTCTTTTTTAAATTTAGAAATATTGGGGCTGTTTCAATAAAACAACCTCCCTTCCTATCTCTATTTCCAGTGGATGGTGGCTGGTCCAGTATGACATCTCTCCTTCTCTCTCTTTATTCCAGTGGACGGCGGCTGGTCGAGCTGGGGCGTCTGATCCAGTATTGACACCTACCTCCCTTTCCCTACCTATTTCCAGAGGGCAGGGGCTGGTCCAGTATGACATCTCTCCTTCCCTCTCTTTATTTCCAGTGGATGGTGGCTGGTCCAGTATGACATCTCTCCTTCCCTATCTTTATTTCCAGTGGACGGCGGCTGGTCAAGCTGGGGTGTCTGGTCCAGCTGTGAGCCGGCCTGCGGGCCGGGCCGACGCCAGAGAGTCCGTACCTGTGACTCGCCCCGACCTCTGAACGGAGGAAGATCGTGTCGAGGTCCGCAGCAGCAGACTGCCGAGTGTAGCTCACACTGTCCGCGTGAGTAGGGGAGGAGGGGTCTATTTTTAGTGGCCTCAACTTTCATATAAAGAGGGGTTCGGTATCATTTCGGTCCACGTGAGTACGGGAAAGGGACTGACCTGGCAGTGGTGTGCGATGTCGTTTCGTTCCGCGTGAGTTGGGGGGGAGGATAAGATGTGTGGTGTCTTTTCGCTCCACTTGAGTAGGGAACGAGGTGAAGTCTGGTGTCCTTTCGACGCTCTTGAGAAGGAAAGAGGACTTGTGTCGTTTCAATACATACTGCGTGAGTACGGGACGAGGTTAAGTCTGGAGTCTTTTCGATACTGAGTAAGGAGGGGTCGAGAAATGTTGTCCTTTCGGTCTGCGTGAGTAGGATGGGATGAGTCCGGTGTCCTTCCGATCCACGCGAGGACGGCGGAGGAAGGGTCTAGTGTCCTCTCAGGACTGAGTGACTGGTGTCGATGAGGAGGTGAAATCTGGTGTCCTCTCTCAGCACTAGAAGAGGAGGGGCCTGGTGTCCTCTGGGCCCTGGGTTCCGCGTGAGTAGGTAGGAGTGTGGGGTCTGGAAGTGACCCTCTTTCGCCCTGCACGCGGGGGCGGGGGTGGAGATTCTTGTGTCCTTTTGTATTGGGTAAGGAGGCGTCCTCTGTAAACCAGGCTTCATCAACACATACACAAACCCAAATCCCCTAAACCTAAGTTAGTTGGTTGCCTGTGCCTAGGTTAGTTACCACTTACCGGACCACTTTAATTCTTATTGTCTGGGTACAAACCCCATTCACTAGAATCACACGGAAATCTTCCGTATCGCCACGATGGCTTGCGTCATTATGATTCACGCGGCAATTTGTACCGTTTGCGTCGTGTTGGTCCGTCTTCGACAACTGCCTTCCTCAGTTTACGTACAGTGCCGCCCGCGGAGCACATTTTCCGCCTGTGCCTGCCATCAAACTGGTCCATACGCCCCCCTGTCTGCAAATGTAGCTATTTATGACGATGATAATGTCACTGGATGTATTTTTGTGTCGGGTTGGTTGATATTTGAGCCTTCTTTCCCGTCAACTAGTGGTCACATTTGGACGCGTTTGGTGACACCTGTTTTCATTTGGAGGGATTTTATTGGTGGCATAATCGTAAGCGGTTATAGTTTTAAGGTAGCTCTGACTGCAAGGTTGTCTTGATGAAACACCCGATAAGTCAATCGGTTTGCTCCTAATTTGGTGCATTTTTCAGTGTGACATCACCGATATAGGCAGTGAGGATATCGGTTTGTCGCTAAACGGTGATCGTACGTCATTATGACGTCAGTATGACATCACAATGTGCTGCTGTTCAGTGTATGTAGTGGGCGGTAGAGGTTGGCTGTTTTTAACACACTATTATGCATATATTGTCCACAGCATTTGACGACGGAAGGAATGTTCTTGCTATATTGTGTGACATCATATAGTTACTATAACGTCATATGTTCTGAAGTTCCAGCAGTTGTGGACGGCGATTATTAGTTGTCCGCATGACGTCATATGTCCTCTGCTCCTAGTGGTAGATGGCGACTGGTTGTTCTTATGACTTCATATGTTCTATTACTCCCACAGTGGCGGACAGTGGCCACTCTTTGTTCTTATTACGTCATATGCTCTGTTTCCTCCCTCAGGTTTGGACGGCAGCTGGTAGTTGTATATGTGACAGTATATGTTCTGTTGTTCCCAACGTCCAACGATGGACGGCTGATCTTTGTTCTTATGAGTTATGACATAATTATCTAATGCTTCCACAGCGGTGGACGGACGGCCGCTCGCTGCTGTTATGACGTCATATGTTGTGTCGCTCCCCAGCGGTGGACGGCGGCTGGTCTCCGTACGGTGATTGGTCGGCCTGTGACATCACGTGTCGTCAGAGCCGGCAGCGGACCTGCTCCTCCCCCTCCCCGGCCCAGGGCGGCAGGCCCTGCTCCGGGGCCGACCGGGAGCATCGCAACTGCTCCGCTGTCGACTGCCAAAGTAAGTAGGTACCTCACTGTAACAGTCTGTTATTCATTACACTATGTTGGAATCATAGACTATCAACTGCTCCGCTGTCAACTGCCAAAGTTAGTATCGTGGTATAACACTGCTATTTCTTTATTGCAAGATGTTGGAACCGTAAACTGACAACTGACTGTTGCGCTATCGACCGTGAAAGTTGCTAGAGTATCGTAGCTTTTCAACTTTCTCACCTTGTTTGTGAGAGTATGTAAGAAATAAGAATACACTCTCGCAAGACAGAATGTACTATGTATTATAACAATGTAACCACTGGGCTAACGTAGGAAGGAAAGACGTTTGTTTAGTTTGATATGTACAGTGCGTTTCACATCATGCATTATATTGGTAGCAATATTGTTGTCGTTTTTACACACATGTCTGATACAACTCGTTCATTCCACAGACGCCTTAGCTGTGCTTCGACATAACTCGGCTTCAGACCAAGGTAGGTTTGAGACTTCTATGTACCACGAAACAGAAGTGACGAATGACTAACTGACGATCAGAAACCATTTTCGGACTATACGTCATTTATGATTGACAGCTGTCAAAACTGGAGATAACGCCCAGATGAGATGAATGAGTCTAACGGGGCATACCTACGGCTTAGACAGAATGTCAGAAATGAGGGACACTTGCTGGTTGACATTCACGGGATAGTAATCAAAAGCCTCATTAACCTCCAGAATGATACTGCGTTTAATTGTCTTAAATGTAAGAATATATTTTGTTTGCTTCTATGATTAAACGACTCCATCAGCTAGCCGTGTTGGAAGATAATTCCGAAGTGTGGTAGGATTATATCCATTATTTATGCATATCAATGGTATCATGTCTATCCATAAGTTCATGTATAGTGGTGTACTAGTGCGTTGTTGTCCCATTTCGTACGACGTGCTGTACTGCAGTGGTATGCTGACGCGTATGTGGTGCTGTATTTCAGCGGCCCGCGCAGTGGCCAGGTCGGACGTAGCGCTGTACGTGGGTCTGGCCGTGGCTCTGGTGGTCTTCCCGCTGATAGCCCTCCTCGCTCTGAAGCTGTACAGAAGGAAGGGAAGGGGACAGAGCATGTACGGACTGACGGAAAGAGGTAAGAAGCTGGAACCTTGAGATGGGTAATGGGAATTATTGCACGATTGGCTAAAATAATTTTGGAAGTGTGTATGTTTGACATGCTTGTGGTGTTTACAAAATAGCAATACAGAAAGAAGGTTGCTTCTAAAAAAAAAGGTTCAACACAAGTAACCGCCGCTATTTTCTATAAACTGAAATCTGTAGGGAAAATGAAATGAAAAAAAAAAATAATGATGAAATGTTATCTGCTATTTCCCTCATTATTTTCATTGTATTTGCGTCTCTTGGCTGCGTCAGATTACGAGTCCAAGTATTACGACCACAACAAGAAGCCGCTCAGCTATACGCCTGACCTGACGGCGACCGTGACCTCTGGGCTGGGGTCAACGCCCCCGAGCCGGGTCACCGACTACGGCTACAACCGGCTGGACGCCGGCTATCGGAGAACCGGTGAGAGTTCAACTCGATAACTATAGTGTGACAAACCTAAGAAAGCGCCTGAATCCTGCACGTGTTCTGATCACTTGCAATGTATGGTTCGGAGAAACGTGTGTGAAAAGCTGTGAGAGAATAGAAATATTCTCGTATTTATATGGGGCAATATAAAAGCCCGTACATTAACAGCGCTTGCGCTTTAAATCTGTTCTTTCTTAGGTTTGTCAGACTATAATAGTCAATATGCACCCTCTAATCTACCTGTGTGATATGTAAACGGACCTGGTAACTGTGCTTATGGCATGCGAAATGCTGCTCGATGATCTCATTTGTCAATGAAAAGGTTTATGTAAATATGACTCTGTGCTTATTGCTTGCGAACGCTGCCAGATATTCTCACAAGTCGATGAAAATTCGTATTTACTCTTGCACGAAGAAAAGGCTTAGGTAGGTAGTAGGGTGGATCATGTAGGATGGATAGACAGACTCTCAGATAACTTGAGTTCAATGGCAAGTTGATGTTTGTAGAAGATAACACAATCATTTTAGATGGTGCTGAGGACGATTGTAAGCAACTGAACGATTGTTGAACAGCTGAAGGAAGTCTGCCACTCGTATGTTTAAAATTGGCATAGAACCAAGCATCCAATTTACATTTCTTTGTGTGCATATTTACATAGCTCTTTGCGTATGCATGTGCCCTTTTCTCCACCCATGGCCAGTTTCAAGAACAATGTCAAGCAAGATAGACTCGATAACTCGATTGTTGGAAGCCATCGCGACCTTGCCTGATAGGTGTTTCGTCCTTCCATAATGCATCTTCGACGTACCCACGCTACATATATTCAGCACATTAGAGTCACATTACCGTGGGTCGAGTCACGACTCTGTCGTCCCCGTGCGTGTCACCGTGTTCGTCCGGCACGACTCGTGATGTTTGAGTCGTGACTCGTGAGGCTAGTGACTCACGATGGTTGCGAAGATGGTGCTGAGTCAGCTAACGCATCTGGTGATAGGGAGACAGGACATACGCCGAAAAGTGATAAAGTGCTGAATAAAGAGATGAAGTCGGAAAAGGACATGCAGAAGTGCACCTCCCATATTTCGCAAGTTACTGAGAGCATCCAGGATGAGGTCAAACAAGTTGACGAGCCTTGTATGCCACGATAGGCTTTAGCATTGACTCAACTCAAGTTGTATCTTTGCGTCAAAGAAGCAGCTAAAGCGACAGAATACATAAAATCTACCCTCAATGGATACCCTGAAATGCCCGATAGCTAACGGCATTCTTCTTATCCCATGATATTAGATCAAGACCTTATGAATAACTTCCGAACTAGTGTTTGTCCTACAGGTACTCTAGAAGCCTGCCAGCACGCGAAAGTTAACCTGTGTATCATCTTCACGTCTGTTCTCTGGCTCGTTTCAGGACTGCTGGGCCGCTCCGAGCCCCTCTACGACGAACCGCTTCTACCGCCACCTGGCGGGCCGGTCGGAGCCACCTCTAAAGCGGCTCCCGACGCGCCCTCTATCGGCTCCCGGAGCTCCCAGCGCTCCGCTGGCTCCTCCGGCTCTGCCGGCTCCCGCAGCACGCCCCATCACAGCTCGTCGTCCTACTGCAGCTCACGTGAGTTGGACGCAGCTTATCTTGTTTGTTTTCCGTCTTTCTTTCTTTTCTTGCTCGAGAGCACGCCCGCCGAATTACCTATGGTGTTGTTCTGTTGAAACTTATGCTCTTCTGCCCCACTTATGTCACTTTGTTGTCTTGCAGCCTGCAATACAATCGAAGTGCCTAACTTCAGCGTAACATCTTTCGAACGGAACGTGTTTCATTTTGCCTATAGATCATACTTTTTGGTGGTCTTTGTCGAACCCAAATCCGCTCACTGAGTTATCTTGAGTCTCAAACCGCTTAATCGGAATCAACTTCCATGGTCATCAAAGTGATCAGATTGAATAGTCATTTTGATTAGTAGGTCCAATATGGCAGAAAATATTGACGAGGTCAATCTATCGTACATTCAGCAACTCCATGAGGGTTACTGAATGTTCCTTCCAACCTTTGCCCTATGACATCTAACAGAGCTGTTTCATTTCAGCCACGTCTCGTCCGAATTCTCTGTACGACGCGGAGCCGTCCTCGTGTCGTCAATCGCTGCTGTCCTCGCCACTGCCATCTAGCGTCAACCCAGACAACCTCGAATTTGGCACAGGTTAGTTGGCGGCGTGGTGCGGGAAAATGATTGCACTCTAATGAATGTTCCTCGCCTTGTAACATCTTTTTCTGGCTGCTTTGAACAACCCGTGATTTGTTGCCTGCTCTTCTAGCCCACACCAATAGCATCTCGTCATTGTAACCCCATTTGAGTTATTCCACGCTGGTCCACTTAATCTTGGAATGACCATTGACATATATCGCCCTAATTCTTACCGTAACCTCTGTAATTTGACCGCCGCCGTTTTGACCCTACGGTGACTCCTCCACTTTAGTCAAATATGTCGTGCCATGGCAGCGACCTCTATGACCACACAGTAGCCTCTCTGCCCTTCCAGTGACCTGTGACGGTCTATTGGTACCTCCACTATTTGACATAACAGTGACCTCTATGACCTCACAGTGACCTGTCTGCCTCTCAGTGACCTATAGTAGGTGACCTTACAGTGAACCTCCCTGCCCCTCCAGTGACCTCTGCCGGTGCGGTGCTCAGTCTGCCCAATGCCGGTGTAACCCTGGTAATTCCCGAGGGAGCCGTCCCGACCGGACAGGCCGAGGAAGTATATCTGGCTGTGGCCAGTGACGCGCGAGAGAAGCCGCAACTAAATGGTGAGTGAGATTGGGAAGTGGTATATGGTCTTAAGGGATGCAAAGAAAATACTTGCTGCGATAGATGTCTGATGCCCCATGAAAGATGTTATGCTTTTATATGATAGTTACTATGATTTGTAACGGTTTTCACTTGGCTCGCTTGTTTCGTTCTTTTCTAACGCAAGGTATCAGAGTGAGGTACCCAATTACCGCCACCGTATCAATGTTACGTCTATATAAACAAATATGAACACGAACTTCCTCAAAGGTATGCACAACCGGATAGCGCTTACATCGCATTTCTCATTTCTGTAAAAGCTGTTTGACATTATCCCCGAAGTTGACCCTCCCCGACCCATTCTCACAGAAAACCAGACACTGTTGTCTCCGGTGATCCTGGTGGGCCCTCCGGGTACGCAGTTCCTAAAGCCTGTCGTCGTTGGCTTTCACCACTGCGCCAATCTGAAGACGTCTTGGCTGACGTCTGTGCACGTTAGCGAGAGTCCCGCAGATGAGACTCCTCAGTGGCAGGTGAGGCGAAGTTGGCGTAGTTCTATGGTGTAGGTCTACCTGGGTCGGATAGTTTACCTTTGATCGCTGAAGTCTAGCTTATTTAGTTTAGTCTGTTTTAGTGACAACTGACAATTGTCTCTAAACATAGTCGGTGCGGGTGTAGCTTGGGGAGCGTTTGGGGAACGCTTGGGTAGTTATACCGTTTCCCCGTACGAATCCCGCGCCACTAGTTCCCCGTACAAAGTATCTCAAATCCCAAGCGAATGCTCCGTTTTCCCCAGGCAAACGGTCGGGGTTTCCCCAAGTACGTTTTAAGCCCACCATAGGGCTTCCCCGTACGGGGAAAGCTCTGATTTGCTGGCTGGGGAGATGTTGCGAAATGATCATTGTAGTTGACGCCCCCATAATGCCCCAATAAACAAACAATTTCATGCTATTCCTGTCAGGATTTTAGATGGTTTTAAAGAAACAATATGATACACTCTTGTGTTAAATAATAAATATAACATAGGTATTGTTGCCTTTTACCTACTGTAAGGTATCAAGGAAGTCAATGTTTATTACGGAAATGGAAAGTTTTTGTTGGCAGTCGATTGAGTGTATAGCCTAACATCAATTAGTATGATTATTGATATTGTTAACCGCAGTTTCTTTATTTCTGTCTCCTTTTCAGCGCGCGGTGACTCTAGGTCAGGAGACCATCAACACGCCGATCTACGTGCAGCTGGACCAGGCCAAAGCCTACGTTCTCACAGACTGCCTGCAGGCTCTGGCACTAGTTGGAGAACCATGCACTGGTGAGATAAAGAAAAAACAGTTGGACAGCCGAAAACTGTGAGAAATGAAACACGTAACATACAACATGAAACATAGAATTCATTCATGTCAAAACGCATCTGGTAACTCTAACTGTTCAATATCTTTACGGCTTTCAGTGGCTTTTATTGATGGATCGCGCACTGCGCATTATCTAATGAATTTCAGCCTTGTTACGAGCGAGCGAGCGCAGCGAGCGAAGTGAGTCTTTTCAATATAACGGAAAAAGCTCAGTATGAGCGGCCCGGCCCGGCCCGGCCTGTAACGCTTTTGAGAGGCGTATATCTCAGCAACCGCTGGACCGATTGGCCTGCGGTCTTTTTTGTTGGGTAGCCCCATCCCTTCTACCCCGTAATTTACTACTTTTGATACATCTCAGTGACCGTGGTGGCACGTGCCACGTGAAAAGTCAAGGGTGTTCAAGCTGTTTTGCAAAAGTAGTGATTTTGAGAGGCTCTTATCTCAGCAGCCGCTTGGGCGATTGACTTGCGGTAATTTTTGTAGGGTAGCAGCATCCCTTCTACCCAAAATAGGATACTCTCGATGTATGTGGGTCACCCCCAGTGCACGTGCAAAATACAACAATAAGAGGTGCCAAATTTGTTCCCATTTCAGTAACTCGGTAATTACTGGGGCGATTTCGCTGAAACTTGGCATACAGGTAGGCACCCACCAGGCAATGCATTCCCATGTGTTGCGGTTAGGGTGCTACTGCACGTGCGCACGTGCAGGGGGCGTTTCCAGATCTCGAGAACGGCTGGGCCGATTGCGCTCAAATTTGGTATACGGTTGGGGACCAGTTAGTAGGGTGCCGTGCAAAAGTCATTTTGGACCCCGTTTGCACGTGCGCACGTGCAGAATGCCGCTTCCAGATCTCAGGAACGGTTGGGCCGATTGCGTTCAAATTTGGCACATCGCTAGCGACCGGTTAGAAGGGTGCTTTGCACAAGCCCGTTGGAAGCACCCTCTCGCGCTTCCGCACGTGCAGGGCTCACTATCTCGCTCGCTCGTTCTTCGCCCAAAAGGCGTTTTACTGGTGGATAACCCTCAATTACAACAAAAATAGCCTTCTCGGGTCGGCAGCGCTGGGCCTGCTTGACTTCCTGAACCCAATCAGCAGCATTAATGCCTCCGTCGCCCTGCAATGACGCATTTAGTCACTGATCTCTCCGTTTTGTCGACAGCCCCGGCAGTGAAGAACCTCCGTTTGGCAGCGTTTGGTCCCCGCGTGGTGTCAGCTACAGAGTCCTGTGTGAGGGTCTACATCATGGACGATACTCGCGCGGCTCTGGACGTAAGGAGCGGGGGAACAGGGGGTGTGTTTACTCTGGGTGTATAGTGGGGGTAGTTTTTTTTTGTTGGGTTAGGCCCTTTCGGTCCAATGAGACCATTTCAGAGCCGGGAGGATGATAGGATATAGGGGGAGACATTGGTCTGGGCAGGCACCCTAGTGAGTCGCCGGGGCTGAGCCCGTCCAGAGGACAGGCCACCCAGCCCCAAGGCACTCACTGCACCCGGCTACGGGGTGCGCTCCCTCGGGAGCAGCGGTGCCGCTCCAAGGGAGCAGCCCGCATGAGATAAAGTTGCCTGTCCAGCCCGGAGGGGGGCTGCGGCGTGGAGGAGAAGGATTTCAGTATCCTGAGGATAGAAGCACGGAACGGTGGGGGTAGTATAGGTGTGCTTATAGGGGTAGTGGATCGGACCCACTGAGATCATAGTGTAATTAGGTGCTTTTGTTTTGTGTGGTAGGGGGTCGATTGAACAGCCTGGATGTTTGAATGTAATCTTCTCTTAGTTGGCATATTTGTGTGAGTTTTTAGTGTATAGTGACTGCTTAGATTATCACTTTTATAGTCAGCCTTAAGCTAAGGACAGGACTAAGCTTTTAGCTTTTAGCTTTCCTAGCTTTTGGCTAAGGACCGTATGAAACTTGAAAGATTCGTAGTTACTGCTTAATTAAGCTAGTGAAGCTTCGTGGTCCTTTCTTATATGCCGATGTTTCGCCGCAACCTTTCAAAGACATGACCTTCTTCGTCACATTGACAACTCATTGACTCATTCGTTTGTAGTGTGCTTGTGTTCATTCATACACAACAAATGTCCTCGTATGAATGAATATGGAAAGAAGGTAGCCACTAGCATTTCTGTCGTGACTCATAAGAACAGGGCCGCCAGAGATCAGGAATGAGGGCCAACAAACGCAGTGCATGTCTCGATGTCACCACACCGACATATTCTGACATCTCCCATGATTCCCCCAACTTGGGGGAATCATGGGAGGAATTTTTGAATTCCCAAGTTGGGGAATTTTTGATTCCCCAACTTGGGGGATTCATGGGAGATGTCAGAATATGTCGGTGTGGTGGCATCGAGACATGCACTGCGTTAGTTGGCCCTCATTCCTGATCTCTAGCGGCCCTGTTCTCATGAGTCATGACACCCAACAGTGTGTCTGATATCATCCCTTTACTCCCACACGGAGTGTCTGACATCTTCCCTCCGACATTGTCTTTCCTTCGCTCACACACAGTTTCTCTGACATCTTCCCTTCCCCCGACAGCATCTGACATCTTCCCCTTCCCTTCTTTCCACAGAGCGTCTGTCAGCTGGAGCGGCGCCTGGGCGGCAGGATGATGGACAAGCCGAAGACGCTGCCGTACCAGAGTGGCAGCGCAGGTCTCTGTGTCGCTCTGGAGGACCTCAGTTTGGGGTGGAAGTGTCGCTCTCAACCCCCGCAACAAGTCAGTACCCAGGGATAGCATTGCAAGTTACAGCATGTCTTCTGAAGGCCTTCTGAAGAAAGAGGGGCTATGAGGAATGAATGTGTTCTGTGATATTTTCATCATAGGCTCTCTCATATAGGCCGTGCTAGCCAAGGCCCTAAAACATAGTGCTAACGAACTATCATTCCCTGACATAGCGCGTGCATTAATTGATATTTATATATCATTGCAGGAGATCCCGTTCCGACACGTGTGGAGCGGTGCATGTTCCCTGCTGCACGTGTCGTTCAGCCTGGAGCACGTGGGACACGCGGCGGCACGTGACAGTCTGGCGTTCTCGGGTCGGATCCAGGTGTACCAGCGGTGCAGCCAGATCCGACGCCAGGTTCTGCGTGTGACGTCATCAAGCGATGGGGATAGTCAGGTAATAGAGCGAGTTTGGAACGGGTTGTGGAGTGTGGTGATGTCATGGTATTCACTATATTTAAAGGGACCCTCCCACCTTCAAAAAAGTTTATGAATTGGCATGAAAGTGATGTCGCTCGGTTCAGAAAGAGCGAAAACGAATATCTACCAAATTTCACCGAAAAATATTCACCGGTTTTCAAGATATTTGACTTTTACTTTTGTTTACTTTTTTGGGGATCTCCGCTGTTCCTAGCGACTTTATTTTAGAAGTGCGGCGTTTGCGGCAGATGTTGCGCGCAAATAGCATATACCACCGCGTGCTACAAAACGTTTTAGTCAAACATTTAAAAATCGTTAGATATCTGCGCTGACGTCACACATTCAGAGGGGTATTCCTCAGCATTAGCCCCTCTGAATCAAAATGCTGCAATTTTGAAATTCAATATTTCCGATTTAAGGCATTTCTCGATGTTGTGAGTGCCGAAACCGGTAATTGTGAGCCAGGGACCCCATTTTGGCTATCTCAACTCAAATCTAATGTTAAGGTGGGAGGGTCCCTTTAAACGCTACTTGTATTGGTAATTACATTAATCAGATGGGAAACACACTCTCATTTGATCAAAACAGAGACAAGGTGCTCGAGCGACAGAAAAAGTGGAATTTATCACCGTTTAATTTTCCTTTGCGACCTTTCATACAAAGAATATCATGTACCTACTGTTATAACCTGAAGTTGAGAAGCAAGTACTGAAAAACGGTACGATAACCTGTGATAACCGTTTGATGAAAATTAGGTGAGGAATCTTTGATTTCCTGCCTGGCGAATATGCCGCAATTGTCGCAAAGCGATTCTGCAGGGCCTAGCACTGGTGCATCTGGGGCATCTGGCCTTGTTATTAACGAGTTGCTGTGTTTTGTGGTAAACAAGACTGATTGCTTGCCCCCTGAGGCCATCTGCCAGCTATGTCTGGATTCCTTTGCTGAGGATGAAATAGAAAAAGCAAAGAAAATGCTGTATGAGCTGTGCCCGGACAAGACCATGCCAAGGATGGTAACGAGGAAGGGGCCTAAGAAAGCAACACAGAATATGGACGATATCGTCAAGTTTGTACATGAGAAAGGCCCAGACCTGCCTACGTTTGTGGCTCATAAGTTGCAGGCGCTTCCACCAGTCACATTTAATAGTTTGGACGTGTCGTCACTGCTACATACGATTAAGCAGACACAGGCAGAAGTCGGCCTGTTGAAGGAGGGGCTCAACACCCAAGCTCAGACAATCCGTGACCTGCAATCGGTGCTGGGTGAGCAGACCACTTCCAGGGTGGGAGGTCGGCAAGATCCCACCGGAGCGACGGCTCAAGGGGTGGTGGCCGCAACCCAGACTGAGGCAGCACCTACTTCTGCTCCAAACATCTATAGTGATGCAGGGACGGCAGTCACTGGCCACCTGATTGAGAAGATGCCAGTTGCCATCGAGCGTGCCAGTGAGGCAGGTGAAGAAACTGTGAAAGTGACAGCCGCTCTGGGTTTGGGTAACACAAGTGGACCTCAACAGCAGAGCTATGCGAGTAAAGTGGATGAGTGGAAGAAAATGGAAAAGGTAAATGGTAAACTCAGGGCAATGCCCATGAATGGAGTGGCACATGCAAAGAGTGATGCATCCGGTGGCAAGCTGAGACCAGCTGGAAAGAGGCACGTAAGTGGCTCTGTGAAAGAGTCTGGTCTAACAACGGTGAAGAAGGTGGTGAAGGCTAAATATGCCAGTGTCTTTGCTTCTCGTTTTGATACCAGTGTTAGTAGTGACATGCTTAAAAGGTATCTGGAGGAGAGACTTCATCTGGAAGTGAGTGTTAGCCCAGTTAAAACGAGGTATGATACATATCACTCCTTTCATGTCATGTGTGAATGTGTAAACCCAAAGGTGTTCATGGATGATGCAGTATGGCCAGAGGGAGCTTACGTACGCTGGTGGAAGGGCAGTTTTATGGGTGGGGATGGAGACTCATCTCACACGGGAGGAAAGTAGACAGTCTTCAAACACTTAGAACTTTTTTAGAACTTTTAGAACTTTTTTAGAGTAGTTTTTTATGTTGCAACTTAGTTTTTACAATTGTCATGGTTTTCCAAGGAACAGGTGTGCACTTTCCCTTCGTAAGGATATGGAATATTTGCTTGAAAGGTCAGATATGATATGTCTACAAGAAACTTGGTTGTTTAAAGAGGATTTGTATAGCCTCAATAATGCACACCCAGACTTTGTTGGTTTTGGAACAGCTACTGCTGACTTACAGAGTAGACTGTGTACTGGGCATGCTCCTGGAGGAGTTGCAATTCTATTCAAACAGTCTCTGCAGAGCTGTATCGAACCAGTTCATTTTGAGGTTGATTGGTGCATAGGAGCTAAAGTATCCATTGACGACAAACAGTTCTTTGTTCTTAGTTTGTATTTGCCTTATCAGTGTGTAGAAAATGAATTAGACTACATCGAGAAATTAGGAGAGCTAAGTTCCATAATAGAAGGGATAAGCTCAACATCATATATCCTTGTAGGTGATTGGAATGCAAATCTAGGACAGACAGGACAAGCTATGTTTGCAAAGTATATGATTGAGTTCTGTGAGGAGCATTCACTCATTAACACTAGTCAAGCGCTATTGCCTTCAGATAGCTTCACTTTCGTCTCAAGTAGCTGGGGAACTGTGTCCTGGCTAGACCATGCAGTGTGTAGTGCGGACATGCACAGGATCATATCATCAATTGAGATAGGATATGGCATTGCTCAAGACGATCACATGCCTGTTAGTGTAAATCTGAATATACCCAAATTGCCTAGTCATTCGGAGAGTAAGATGGCTGGAAGTAAGAATGTTGATTGGGATAGAGTAACCAAACAGGACATAGCGAGGTATAGAAATGCTACAGACCATTATTACGGAGCGAGCGAAGCGAGCGGAGTCTTACGTAGAATAACGGAAATTTCTGAGTATGAGCGGCCGGCCGGCCGGCCGGCCGGCCGGCCGGCCGGCCGTGCGGACGCTTTTGCGAGGCTTATATCTCAGGAACCACTTGACCGATTTACATGCGGTAATTTTTGTAGGGTAGCTTCATTCCTTCTACCAAGTATTGGACTATTCCCGATGCATGTGGGTGACCCCTTATGCACGTGCCACGTGCAAAACGAAGAGGTGTCAGTTTTGTAATTGTTGCAATATCTCGGTAACTACTTGGCCGATTGCGCTGAAAGTTGGTATGTAGGTAGGCACCCACTAGGCACTGCATATCCATGTGCCAGAGTTGGGGTGCTGCTGCACGTGCGCACGTGCAGGGGTCGTTTCCAGATCTCGAGAACGGCTGGACCGATGGCGCTCAAATTTGGTACACAGTTAGGGACCAGTTAGTAGGGTGCCGTGTACAAGTCAGTTGGGACCCATTTTGCACGTGCGCACGTGCAGGGTGCCGCTCCCAGATCTCGAGAACGGCTGGGCCGATTGTGCTCAAATTTGGCACATCGCTAGAAACCGGTCAGTAGGGTGCCGTGCACAAGTCAGTTGGAGGTACCCCCTCGAAATTTCGCACGTGCAAGACTCACCCCCTCGCTCGCTCCGTTAGTCGCCCCAAAAGGCGCTATACTGGTTTAAAGAAAGTGAAAATCCCACAGGCTGTGAAATGTGCAGATGGAAACTGTAAAGAGGTAAATCATGTACAGGACATATTTGTGTTGTATGAAGGAGTAGTGAATTGTCTCAGCAAAGCTGGGCAAGAGCTACTTGCGGGAAGGAGGGAGAATGGTGCTCAATCTTCCAAACCTGGCTGGAATGACTATGTTGAGGAGTTATATGATATATCAAGGGAGAATTTCATTGCTTGGAAGGAGGCTGGTAAGCCGAGACAGGGCCCCGTTTATGAAGCTCACAGGGAGGCCAAGGTTAGATTTAAAAGTGCCTTGAGATATATTAAGAAGCATGAAAATGAGTTACGCAGGGAAGCATTGGCCAAAAAGTTAGTTGAGAGGGACACCAAAGGTTTCTGGAAGGAAGTGAGGGTAATGAGTGGCTCACAGGTACCTAGACCTACTATGATGGAAGGGGTACGTGGAGAAGAGGATATTGCCTCTTTATGGAAACAACATTTTCAAGATCTGTTTAACTCTGTTGTGAGTAAGATGGATGAATTGAGTGAGGATATTTCAGGGGACTGCGAAAGTGCTCTCGTATCAGTAGATGAGGTAGATGCTGCCATCAGGGAGCTAGCTATAGGTAAATCGTGTGGTTTAGATGGGATCTCTGCTGAGCATTTAAAGAATGCGTCAGGTCGAATTGTACCTCTACTGAGTCTGTGTTTCACAGCCTGCATGGTTCATGGAAAGTTGCCAGACTCTTTGATGAAAGTAGTTCTAGTCCCTGTGATAAAGAATAAGGCTGGTTCCATCAGTTCGATGAATAACTACAGGCCAGTAGCATTAGCCAGTATCATCAGTAAGGTGTATGAGATCATTTTGCTCAAAAAGTTAAAACCTTTCTTGGGTACTCAAGATAATCAATTTGCTTATAAAAAGGGTATGGGTACAGATCAATGTGTATATGCTCTAAAGGAAGTTGTGAGTATGTATAGATCTATGAAGGGCAATGTGCACTTATGCTTCCTTGATGCCAGTAAAGGTTTTGACAGAATAAACCACAGTCTACTCTTTGATAAGCTGAACCGCAGGGGAGTACCAGCATGTTTAGTTAGAATATTGTCTTTTTGGTATACTAGTCAAAAGATGTGTGTGAGATGGGGATCCACATATTCAGAGTTCTTTGGAGTGTCAAATGGTGTAAGGCAGGGAGGGATTCTGTCCCCATATCTCTTCAGCGTCTATATGGATGACCTGAGTTCACTGCTCAATAGGTGTAGTACAGGCTGCTATATTGGAGAAAGAATTGTAAACCACTTAATGTATGCAGATGATCTAGTTGTGATGGCACCGTCCAGTGTAGGATTGCAGCGTTTGCTTAATGTGTGTACTGAGTTTGGAATATCTCATGATGTTAAGTACAATGCCCTAAAGAGTTGTGCAATGTGCTGTAGTTCAGATTTTCTGCGGAATGTACGAAAACGAGACTTTTATGTGGGAGGGGTGCCGGTTGCCAATGTAGATCGAGTTAAGTACTTAGGTCACTACATAACTGATAACTTGTCCGATGATGCAGACATAGAGAATCAGACTCGTGTCTTGCTTCGCCAAGGGAACGCAATGTTGAGGAAGTTTCACATGTGTAGTACTGATGTAAAGATGAAATTGTTTAATGCTCATTGTAAGCCTATGTATTGTTCGCAGTTGTGGTGGTGTTTCAAAAAAGGAACTATGAAGAGGTTTGTCACTAGTTATCATAACCTTCTTAAAAGGACCTTAGGGCTATCAAAGTTTGAGAGTACCAGTGCTACCTGTGCATACTTTAGAGTACCCTCGTGTGAGGCTGTCATTAGAGGCTTAATATATAAATTCATGAAAAGGGTTGATCTGAGCAATAACGGTATCATGGCAGCTATATGTTTGAGCAGTTTGAGGTACCAGTCAAGGATCAGGAGGTCATGGCTGGGAAGGCTGTATACAAGGGCAGACATGGATGTCACCTGACTCCCCTGTGTTTAGGCTGCAGTGTGTGTCTTTTTTAGCATGTGTGTTTTTGTGTGTTTTTATGATGTGAAGGGTTTTTTTATGGACCAGTATGGTCTGGAATAGGTAAAGTTTTGTCTGTCTGTCTGTCTGTCTGTTATGTAACTTATGTTATGTTATGTTAAGATTTTTATTCACTTGGGGCGGAACCACGTTTTATCAAACAATGCTCGAACAACCATGTAGACTTGTGTCAAAAGGTAGTTTGAGATCGACTATGGCTTCATAAGTCAGCCTGCCAAACACTAAAAAGTAAAAAGCGTATTGCGCATTGCGCGTATTGCGCCAACTAAAAATATCTCGAGCTCGAGCGATGTTGTGCTTTTTATTGAAACTAATGGCTCATATATGCGATATTACTTCGATTTTGTTTCCGTTGGTCTAGCAAAGAAGGCGGTTGGTACTTCTAAAAATAACTTTTCATCATAAGTCTTACTGGGTGGTGGTTATTTTGATAGAAATAACCAGGACTGGCGTCTAACTAAATCGTCTTTGTACTAAAAGTTTCAACAATCAAGTTCATACCGACCTCAACTTAAGCTTGACGACCTTTTTACCTAGCCTATGATCACCTTTGGCCTAATTATTAAACCATGGACCACACTGTATACCGCTGCACTCTGCGGTAAAGAGGTCTATGGTTCAACATTAAACCACCTCCTGGTCTGACGCATGACCATGACCTGACCTGACCTGACCTGACATAACCTTGCTCGTGGTCTGACCTCTGGCTATTGTGCGTTACAGGCTGGCGTACCGCCTCCAGTTCGACCAGCCCCAGCGTCTTCCACGTTCTCCTCCGAGCGAGCCGTGGGCAGGTTATCAGCCGAGACCAAGCAGCGACTGTGTCAGTGTCTGAACCCGCCGAATCCCTACGGCAACGACTGGAGAATGCTGGCACAGATGATGCAGGTCAATAGGTAGGCAATGAGCCAAATTTGTAATATGCTGAATAACTTGGTCACAAAGCTGTCAGCAGGCAATGAAAGGGTGGTTTCCTCTGCCTGTGTTTAATGCCTGCATCGATTGGTTATTATCGAATGGGAAATGTTATTGCTGTTTGTTTATTATGACAGATGTATTTGCAGGGGTGGTGGTTTATGTCTTTCTTTGGACGCCAAAATAGACATTCGCAGCCTTCCATGTACCCTATTGATACACAACCAACCATCATTCTCCACTCATCTAGTTTTTGCTGTTGATATCGAGCAGTTTGTGGTCATAAGCCCCCAAATCGCACGCAACTGCGAAGTTTATAGCTAAATGGTGTTTGCATCACGCTCAACTCATTATTAAAAGCGTTCATTTGTCTCTCAACAATGCCAGTTGTGTGGACTGTAATGTGATTGCCGTTGAAACTGCTTTTCTGCTGCTGCTTGCTGCTTAAATTCATTTAAACAAGTCATTATTCCTATCTGCCGCATACTAAAACCTCAACTATTTTCACCACAGGTACGTCAACTACTTCGCCACCAAGAAGTCTCCGACGGAGCCGATCCTGGACTTGTGGGAGGCGCGGCATCCCGAACAGTCGTCCTGCACGGAACTCATCAACATTCTGCGCATTATGGGTCGGGAGGACGCCGCGCGCATCGTCCAGGCTCAGGCCGGCCTGCGCGTCTGACCTTGAGGAGTGTGTTCTCATTGGTGGAATTCACCGACCTTGAGGGGAGTTGCTTGATTGGCTGGTGGACTTCACTGGCCTTGAGAGGAGTTGTTTCATTGGCTGGTGGAATTCACTGGCCTTGAGGGTAGTTGTTTCATTGGCTGGTGGAATTCACTGGCCTTGAGAGGAGTTGTTTGATTGGTTGGTGGAACTCACTGGCCTTGAGGGGAGTTGTTTCATTGGTTGATGGAGCTCACTGGCCTTGAGGGGAGCTTCCTGATTGGCTCCCAGCAGCGTATGATGACCTTGAGGAAAGCTCGTTGATTGGCGCTGGCGACATGAATGAGACGGGTGGCCTTGAGCACTCGTTTCTGATTGGCGCTGGCTGTTCGGTGGCCTCGAAGGTTGACTGACTCCAGGAATGTGCCGGATGACTGACTGCGAGGCTCTGTTGACTGATTTCGTTAACTCACGAACGACTGCGACGTGGAAGCCTGAAGCCTGCTGCAGCTGTTTCCATTACCATTAATTGATATATTGCTAGGCTTTCGACAAATCTAAAGCCATTGTAAAGGCCACTAGGTGGTATTAATCAAATATTTGCCAAACTCGTATGTTCGCGTCAAGTGGGCGTTGGAGGTTCGTTGAATGCGAAGCCCATGGCGAACGGAATAATTTGTTAAAGTGGCGTATGATTTTTAACTGCATTGCTAAAGCACTTCACTGTGTGACGCATTATTATGGGTAGTGAATGCAGTTATTACCAAAATGTTGACGTCGCTCAGTTTTCGAATGACAGTGTGATATAGTCTGCTAGCTTTTATCACTTACCTGTTTTGAATTTCGATCAAGTAATATGTTTCGCTTCTCAACAGCTCTTAAGAATTCCCGTTTTTAATATTTACACATCTCTGCATGCATTACTTTCTAATGAACTCACTAAGATTGTCCCTTGCATTAGTGCCAAAATGCCTGTGTCTTCCTTACAAAATCAAATTCGTAGTGTAGACGACGGCGTCAATGAACCACCAAACTTGTTACTTATGCGCATGTGAACAATACTCTCAATTCCTCCCTGGCATCTGTGCCGATACTCAATGAGGACATTTCTCATGCAGTTTTAATGTGTGGATATATTTATGGTATTGTTTGGCGTGTGCACTGTGCGATGAAATGCAGCTCATGCTTAGAAATTGCGTGAACTGCTCATGACAATTGATGCAAAGGATCGCTTTATTGTATATGAATGGTAAGATGAGTGGGAAATGGTATGGTTTCTTTCGTTCCTGTGCATTGTATTCAGTTTGTAGATAATTATTTGCATTTTTGCGGTATTGTATTAGGATAAGTTAACTTATACTTAAATCTGAACTCCTTGACGCAAATGGATTGCACATTCTGAAGTTTTTAGGGAGCATTGCCACGCCTTTCAACAAAATGCCGTGCAAAATGCAACGCTAGAGTCTATTTTTAACGATGGCGGATCGCTTTAAGCGCTTTAGTGAAAAGCGCACGTGAAGCACCAACACCTATAACAGAAGCCAGCTGAAAATATCAGCTTACTCTTGATTTTTCTTTTTGACCTTCTCTTCAATCCTATTGCATGTCTCGTGCCGAATTAATTTGTGCGCTTAAAACGATCCGCAATCATTAGAAAAATAGACTATAATTATTTGAAAGGATCACAAAAAATATGATCCACGTTGGTAAATGTCGCTCGAAACGTCTTGTATGAGTGAGCGTGTATGTGTGACGTTTATTGTGTATTTTCTCGTGACAAGGTTCAGTAGAATCTCCTTTCGGTGTTGCTGCTAGTCAATTGTGAGTGTTGACGCGACGGTCCTTTTATAACGCCATACAGCATGAGTGTGGGGTGGAGTTGCGTATTACACTTGTTGCAAGTGTTGGGTAGACCATAAAAATATAGCGATGATGCGTTAATCGACTTTTTATTACGTGAGAGTTGTACGCGTGCCGTTTGCTTGTTTCTAGCATTGCATACTTTGTAATACAGCAGGGTTACAAATATTTACCACACAGCCATGAGATTTAAAACTTGTGAGGGTAACCTGGTTTATCCATCACCTCCAAAAAGATTTGGTGGTGACCTGCCTAGATCGAAATTTAGTGGTAAAATTTAGAGAAGAGAGTTTGTCAGGCATCACCAATCGCCTTCTTCTTGATAAGAGATGCTCTTCTAGCTGTGTAATAAAGGACAATAGGCTAGGTATGGTTTGTAGACAAATATGTATTTGTACTGGCGTATATTTGCACCTAACCGCAATAGATTGATCGGTTTAGCCTTTCATTGCCTCACTTTGTACCTATCTGCAGATATTACGAAGCAGGATTTCCAGGGTTCGTACCACTTTCATTGTCATTTGACATGGATAACTGGTTTGCCATAGCCTATTCCTTCTAGAGCCACCCACATGAAAACACTAAACAGCATCGTTTTATTTTTGACCCTATGAATTTACAACCCGGAAGGGGATGCAAGAAACGGGGTTCTGAAAGGTCGGAAACTGACGTAACCAAGGCCCTAGACGTAACTAGATCAGTTTCATCTTACAAATAAACAACAAACGCTTATCGCACTCATAGTCATTCCAGAACGGCACGTGGTGCAGGTCAACGCAGTCCTCTTCAATGGCGGTCCATTTGGCTCACCGCAACCCCAGAACTGTAAAATGCAGTTGATTGCGTCACAATGCTGGGGAAACATTTGTTGGTCAATTTACTAACAAAAATAAGGAGGGCAATAAGAAATGATATTGAACGTCATTTAAGAAGAGCTATAATAATGTACTATGGTGTTGATAGAAGCTAGGTGCGGAGCATTACGCGCAGCGTAATAAATCAATTTTCATCCAAATCGGCCCAGTAGCGGCTGAGTTATTGCCAGAATAAATTTGGCGACTCCTCTATTGGCCGGCGGTGCCCTGCGCCGGTGTTCATTGCCAAAGGTCAGTGACCTCCCGGCTCTGATTACGCTAGTTTTGCAAGCGAAGAAACTGAGCCTAAGGCACGTGCCGTCTGCTCGGCGCCTGCCGCGGCCAAAATGCCGCAGAGATGCACCCGCCACGTGCAAACCACCGAACGCACCCCCACCAAAATTTAATACGACAAATGGTTGCACGTGCCCGACTCGGCGCCAAAATTTCAACCCCGCAGCCCGCACCGTCGCCTCGCAACAGCCCGCTAAAGGAAACTGACGCGTTACGTACAGACGTTTTGATTTTTATATAGGCAAATATACGGAAAATCTGGAGTAAAAAAGCATGCATTAGGCGGATTAGTAGTTAGTACCAATGCGTCGACCCATCGTCAAAGGATATAAAAATCCCTTTTTAGTAATACCTTTTTAAAACCAACGCCGGGCCGGGGGTGTTCAGAGTTTGGATATCCCACGCCCTGCGTTTTTACACACCTGTTTATACATCTTTTCCGTACATGTGAAAATTTTAGAACCGTCTCTCAAGGGCAGGTCGCCAGGTAACGTAAAGTGACCTCAAATCAGAAAAGGTTAGAATGTTCGCCGTAGCTACACCGACTACCTAAACGATCGCTTTGAAACATTCAGGGATTGTTAACCCGCGCCCCGTAGGGGGGGGGCCGAAACGGCCCCCCCCCCCCCCCTGTCCTTTTCGGTCGATATCTCCTAAACGGCTGGAGATATCGCCACCAAACTTTCAGGACCCCTCCGGGCATCAATTTTACAATTTTACCAAAAATTTTACCAGAGGCTATGATATGTTGGCCACAAATGACGTCAGAGTGACGTCATGTTCTGTCATTTTCGACCGAAAAAAGACCTTCGCGAGAAGACCTGTCAGGACTACAGCTTTGAAGATACAGAAAAATGATTAAGACATAAAAGGTGTAGAATTGACAGGGCTACAAAACTGCTATCTCGAATTTTTGAAATTTTTTAGTTTTGACCCCCAAAAATCAAAAAAGCATTTTTTGGATATATTCGCCAAAAAATCCAAAAAGTTTTTTGAGTTTCGAAAAAAACCGGAATATATGTGATAGTGCCTACCGTCTTCTATCTACATACCAAATTTCAGATCGATACCTCGTTTTTTGGCCAAGTTATAGCGAAAAAACTGTTCAAAAATGATGACGTCAAATTTTCAAACTCAATTTTTGGCAATTCTAGAACTCGTAGAGCAAAACAAAGACCACCATTAGACTCCCCGTGACGAGCTGCATCGAATCGATACCCATTTTATGCAAAAATATCAACTTTGAAATTTGACCTAATTTGACCTGACCTTGACCTGACCTTCACCAAAACGTGACCTAGGCTGGCCCCAAAGGCTGCCTAACCCACATAATCGCATTTGTCATGTAAAATGGACCATAAAACATGTATCACACGACACATTCATATTGTGACCCCCGGTGACCTGACCTCGCTGTGACCTGACCTGGTATCAGTGACCTCAGATAGCAAAGTATGTGTTTGACGAACAATGTACCATCGATGGTTTTCAATAAATTACCAATTTACTCGCTTTCACAGCACATTTCTTGAATTGCCTGTGAACGGTGAAAATCTGACCTTTGACCTGACCTGTGACGTCATCGGTTTGACCTAGGTCAATGAAATTTGGTCACAAGGTAGTTCCTGGGTGGGGCTATCGAACGCCGTTTGAATTTTGAAAATCGGCCGGTAACTTTCCGAGATCTTAGGGGGGGCCGAAACGGCCCCCCCCCCCCTACGGGTGGTAGGGTCCGCCGGTAGCCCTACGGGGCGCGGGTTAAAGGAAATATACCCCTGAGCTTATGGGGAACGACACCCCCCTTAATCAATAGGCTTCCCTTCAAGGAACCCGTCTTAGTACAAACTTGTGATGAGAGACAAAAGCCGATTTGGGACTATTGAGAGTCCAATACGATCAGGTGCTCCCCATGCCGGTGTCTCGGCCCACACACCGACTTTTTGTGCGGCATCTGACTCTGAGAGCCCTCACGAGGGCCTCTGTGGGCTCCATAATTGGCCCTGAGGCCCCTCACAGCATACTTGAGGGCTTCCACGCTGGCTCCACGGGCCGCGCTGGCATCTGAAGTCCCCACGATGGTCTTGAGGTCCCTCAAGTCTCATGAAGACCTATAAGAGGCAAGAGTCCCACAACGGTCTCCGAACGCCACCACGGAGGCTTGTTTGGCCGCAGCGGACTACGATGGCCCTAACGATGACCTCTGAAGCTCCTCACGACGACTTTTGGGGCGTTTTGACTTACGATGGCGTTTAAGTGTCTACCGCAGGCTCGAAGGGACTGATTCGTTCAGGTAATTCACGTGCCCATTTATGTCATGTATAATGGGTAGGGACATCTTACCCAACGCCAGGGGATGTCTTTCCCATCCTTTGGGGTAAGATGCCTACTTGCACTACTTCAGGAAAATGATTAATAACAAAAAAGTTATCATATTTGAAGCACGAAAGTAAGATATTTTATAGAGAAAAATGATGTCAGCTTCCGTTGAAACTCCATGTTTTCACTTGCCAATCGTCATTTTCAAGTAATCCATGACATTCCAAACCCCTGGGCATCTTTCCTCATCCTCCCCTAGCATTGATTGGCGAATAGGATGCTCAGCTGTCGATATGGTGAACACTTTTGGGCTGCTAATAGTACCTACATTGAAGGCAAACTAAATAAGAGTGTTAAGTGTAAATCATTGCATAATTTTCGGAAATCTTAAAAAAATGGCTGTTTTGGACCGCATTTTTGACGGAGAGTGGACGAAAATACCGGACAATGGACGGACATTATACATACATGTTCTTTACATGTTTTATACATTACACATACATGTTTTCTACACTATGAATCATACATACCTATGTACAATGTACATGTTGTGAAACTGGTACCACTACATTGCACCACAGATACCCGTGGCCGTAGACTCCTTCGCAATTCGCTCAAGCTCTCTGAGATGGAAACTGGCTGAACGTCTCAGCTTCAATCTCTTATAAATGCCAATCCCAAATCTTATAAATGCCGTAGACTTTGTTTGGCAGCACTGGCCAAACAAAGTCTACTTAAAAAGTTTGTTTCTGTTCAGCTGCACAGAAAACGGTTATTCAATGCGGAATGCAAAAAGCCCATTTCAGCCCATCGTGCCTTGACGGTGATAAGAGTTGCATCGTTGACTCGATACGCATTTGCTAGTACTGTATCACTGTAAATGTTACTAAATGGCGTGAGTAGAAAAGTACGGCACGTTATAAGTTTGGACCTAGGTTACACTCTCCACATCTGACCAGCTAGCTACTATTGGCGATCAATGTTACCAAATGTCCGAGCGTCACAATACTCCCTTTCTTGCCTCTTGACCGCGAGTCAGAGCAGAAAAGCGTCGCGGCTTTGCTGCTCGCGATTATTTTCATTGGATATTTGCAGTTTGTGCAATATACGCAGGAATAACGGCAACATTTTGCACGCCTTACACCGGGAGCGAGGCTTCCTATACATTTGGCGGGGCGGCTGCCCCAGGCAAATCCAAACTTGGCATTTTGCCCCACCAATAAGCGTTTTGCCCTTTCAAATCTAGCTGATTCGTAGGTCTTTGTTGCTTTACAAATCAATCTTTTTCGCATTAGGGAGCTTTGAAATGTCTGTATAATGCAGAATATTATCTCTGTAACGAAAATAATTGATTCAGTGTAGCATCTTATTAAACTTAATAATCGGAACTTGTAGGTTTGACGACTTTTTGCCCCATCAATTTCCCTGGGAAAGCTCCACTCATGCTTCTGACACCCTTTTTACATTATTACCTTAAGTCCATTAAAGTCACAGGTGCATGACACTTAACTTTTGTTTGAAATATCCGACGAGCGAGAACAATGAGAACAAAAACAATGACAATTCGAAAACGATTAACAATAGGTAGCCAGAAAATTCGGTTGGAGCCGTTGGCCA